AAAATCTCTGAGGAATGCTTCCAGCACCTTGTTGAATCTATGCCACGAAGAATTGAGGCAGTTCTGAAGGCAAAAGGGGGTCCAACCCATTACTATCGTGGTGTACCTAATAAAGTGGCTGGTGAGTGTATACATTATGTGAAATAACTAAAGTATCAAAGTATCAATATTTTGATTTTGGTATCGATTCTAGAACATAAAGTTCTGGTATCGATATTTTAGTATCGATCTGCACATCACTAACAGAAAGAGGTGAACCAGGTGTGAGTGTAACAGTTCTGTTGTCATGTCCTAAAGTTGACAAAGTTTCATTAAAAACTGAGGATGACCTGTAAGGAGCAACAGCACACCACAGTAAACAACGGTAAACAACAGTAAACAACACATCAGTCTGCATAAAAGACTGCAAAGGGGGGAAAAGGATAAATGACTTCATAGTTCCGTTCATTTATAGATGAGCTTTATTAAAATAACAACAAACTAAAGTGAATATCTGCCTGAGAAGCTCCCAAATAACTTATTAAAACTGATATTTAACCATGAACTGAGAAACATTTTAATAATAAACACTTTAGCTTAAAGAAAAACATGAAGGCAGCAAAGACTGAACGTTGTTTCACAATTCAACACAAATAAAGCACAACAATGAACAAGATGTGTTTGTTAATGTAACAGCAGCAACACTGAGCAGATTTAAACAAAGATCAGAGAGCTGTGAGAGGAGGGGGACACACTGGACATGTCTCCAGTCCATCACAGGGACACAGAGACACACAAACATTCACACTTCCTCAGTGATCATTGTTAGTGTAACCATTGAACCTAACGTGTTTGTGTGTGTGTGTCAGTCAGAGGAAACCAAAGTGCTGGACAATAACTTATAAATCAATGCATGAGTCAAACTTTACACAGAAAGGCCGGGAGCTGAACCTGCAACCTTGTTTTTGTGAGATGACCACTGTAACCACTATAACCACTGTAACCACTGCTCCACTGTAACCACTGTAACCACTGCTCCACTGTAACCACTGTAACCACTGCTCCACTGTAACCACTGTAACCACTGTAACCACTCTCCACTGTAACCACTGTAACCACTGTAATCACTGTAATCACTGTAACCACTGTAACCACTGTAATCACTGTAACCACTGCTCCACTGTAACCACTGTAATCACTGTAACCACTGCTCCACTGTAACCACTGTAACCACTATAACCACTGTAACCACTGTAACCACTGTAA